CTGGAGGAACTTTCTTACAACTTGGCGCTGCGTGGCTGGAGAATGGTGCTAGCACAGCAACCTCTCTTGCATACAATCTCTTTCAATAATGTAAACACCTCGACGCCTTTAGTACGCGGAGCTTTCAAATTTCAGGTCAATATTTACAGTTTGGATTTTTGCGGGTACCCATCACCGCCGGTACACACCTCTCCCTATCAGGATGGTTAATAGGCTTGCTTTCTCTGCCTGCCTCTCTCTGCTTCCCCAGCACGACCACATCAGCACTAGTATCAAATTAACTCTCCGACTTTGAAACTTATTGATCTGCTATTAAGACACCAGTGAACCTGATGAAATGAGTGCTGTAGGTGCAGTCAAGACTTCAAAGTGTCACACAGCCACATAAAACAAGCGCCTTTGATCCTAACTCCGATCTGCTGAGGGTTTAAAGCCCAATTCTCCCTAAGCTGCCCTTCTCACTCGTCATGTCTGATGTCTCACCAACCAGCGACTTGATAATGTTAATAATGCAAATTTTAGCAAATGATTTTTACAATGGCAAAATTAATTATATGAATTTATGCTTCTTTCGATGTCGATGTCTGATCTACAAAAAAAATATAGTCGTAGCTATTACCCTTGCAACAGAAAACTACGAGCACGTTCAAGCTTTTAAAACTGTATCACTGCCTTTCCCTCTCAGCTTCACAGGGTCTCATTTTGCTGCTAAAACTATAATTATTTATTATAAATTAACCTTAGATTGGGTTTAAGAGAGCTGAGAGAATTCTATCCAAAGTCCCCTATTGCTACGTATGCATTATTAAAGAAAAGCCACCTCCACGTTTTATATATCCCTTTTTCTTGTTCTTTGTCACTCATCCTCTCCCGATTTCTTTCCCGTGTTCATTCTACAAATCCTCGCAGCGCAGTTGCACAGATTATTTTAAAAACGCCTGCATCTCTGAAATTGCATCAACTAAAATTAAGGTTTTTCTAGATTTACGAATGGTAAAAATAAAGAGATTTCATGTTTAGGGATGAACATACAGCAACCTGCAGAACTGAGAACAAAAATTCTACCTGCAATAAATTAAAACCTATGTTTTAAGCCAATGCACTAGATGACAATATTTTCCTGTAAGAGAAATCTGTTATTTTCCTCATTACTAATAATATTTTATAAACATTTTTTGAATCTTCCCCTGAATTTGTCAACAAGTATTCAATGCTTTAATAAACTTTTATCTGCAAACATCAATAATCCCATTTTCAGCCGAGGGAGTTTCTCACAAAACCTGTTACAGAAGTTTCCCGACTGCATTTCTGATGGAAGAATCACACAAATGCTCAATTACCTTCCCCGTGCTGTGTGCGAACACACAGCTACCCGCCTCCTCCTCCTCCTGAATACTGCACATACCGTTTTTTTTTCTTTTCTGTTTTTTAAGAAACAGAATTTCCTAAGATATCTTATTTGGTGCATAATCATTTCCAGCATCTTAAATCACCAGAAAAATCCAGTACCCGTTAAATTTTCAGGTACTAAACCGCAGCCATTTGTTTCTATTTAGGCTGAAAGATGTGGCTCGGTTCTGTGCTTCCGACTAAGCAAAAAAGAAAATAAGATTTTTCTAAATTTGTCTCTTCCTTTCTACTTTTTGAGACGCAAACATGGTAGCATCTTTGGCTATGCAAAGTTGAAAAGGAACATTATTTTAATTGACTCCTCCGCATCAAAAATCTTTTTTGATAATTCAATCCGTGTGTTTTCCCAATTTTACTTTAATAAAATTTCGGTAGTTATACCTTTTGTGGATTTTTTTTTTTTTTTTAATGTTGATACACACTTAACCTACTTGCAATTCTAAAGAAGTCAACACTTGATTGTGACAATGTTCAAAAGAATTTCCTATGCCACAAGCACAGTAAAAACTTTCACCAATTAGTGCAGGAAAAAAGGAGGGAAAAGCCAGAGCGCTGGTGCTCAAAGAGCCAGGCCTTGCGGCAAAGCTGTCATGTCGAGTGGATTGATCAACAGGACCGCAATTTCTAATGGCATGTTGTCATGAAAAGTCAGCCACGGGGAGCCACCTGCTTTACTCCTCCTAGACAGCTAGGGAAAGGAAGGGGAGAAAAAAAAAAACAAAACCACAAACCCACCCCGCTCCGTACCTAGTTCTGCCAGTCCCTTTTGCTAACAATTTTGGTAAGGGTCTCCTGATTTTTATTCAGTAGGAATATGTCAAATCTCCAACCGTATTATCCAGCCTCTAAGATTAGAGTCACGCAGAAGGCTGACGCTCTTTTTTTGGGGGGGAGGGAGAGGGAAAAGAGGATGAAAAAAAAATTATCTCTATCCCCCAAATACTTCTCAGATCAGAAAATACATCCGTCACATCTCTAAACCAACAAAGTTTGTCAACGGCTTACAACGTACATCTAAGACATTCTGCAAGTCGAGAACAACACGGAGCGTAGACCTTCTGTGCGAGGCTTTATTTCAGCACCACCTTCC